TCTGAAATATCTTGCTGAGAGTTATCAGCCTGTCTATTCTCATTAGCATCCTTGGAAGACAGTCTGGTAAAAGAATTTCTGGTCACATCTTCAGAAGATGGTTGACCATTTTGATGAACAATGGCACTTGGTGGTACTAAAATGATTCTATCTTGAGGTTCATTTTCTACCATTTTAGATCCAACCTGATGTTCTTGCACCAAGAATTTGCCATGCATACTTTTAATATCAAATTGCATCTGTTCTGATTCCTTTTGTCCAGATAATGAATGACTTCCCAACTGATTACTCTCTTGTGATGAAGAAAGACCCCTATCCTCAGCCTTGGACATGTTAATAGAAGGCTATAAGAGGACGAGAGATGAAATCAGTTTAATGGCTAGTATGGTTAATAAATGAAAAATAATAAAACTCTCACATGTTACATTCTTTGCATTTGCAGCGAAAAATCTAAAAATATTCAACTGAAATTACAACCTCTGTTTAATAGGTTTCAGCCACTAATTAACAACAGAGGAAAAGAAAACAAAGCTCATGAACCATAAATGGTACAGTAGCCATCTCAACAATCACAAGCACTACATATACGACTGCCTTACTAGCAACCAAGGAAATAGGTGATAAGAAAAACTAGACAAGTTATACCAAAACTCATCTAGTGAAATGGAAATTAGATTCACTTGCACTAGTTTTTCATATAAGTGATAAGTACTTCAATTTTTGATCATATTAAATACTTGGACGAAATAATAAGCTCAGAGATTTACTTCAATTCAGTTGCACAGCTAGAACATCAAACTACTGCCACTTACCTCATTAGTAGGTTACTAACTGACATGTATGTACAACAACAAAAAAGCCAGAAACTTGACAGTTACATAGAGGTTTTGAACCAACTCTCTTATAAAACACAGTAGGTCAGTTGGATCATTAGAATCTAACCAATCATTATAAACATTAAAATGAAACATGAGAAAATAATTCAGCGAATTTAATCAACAGCTAGCTACATGTCCCAGTTGATGAAATATCAGCACGTAATTTAACTCAACTACTTGAGAGCACGGTATACATTCACAAAGTTACCACTGCTTGGTTACTGAGAAAACATAAGGAGAGGCGACTGAATACATAACTCCCACTTAACATAAACCACTCCAACCATCTAGCAATGGAAAGTTTAAAACAAACAGCCAAACCAGACTCGATATTCAGAGACCCATTTTTTCTTTCTTTTTTTCTCCTGTCTAATCACTCTCCTGGGCGTCCAAAACAAGCACACACAAAACAAGAACAGACAAAAAAGAAAAAACAAGACTTAGAAACTTTGTTCAGGCGACATTATAGGACATCGTTCCGAAGCAAAATCAAAGCATGTAAATCGAAAACATAATTTCCTGTCTCTCTCACTTAACTATCTCGGCGAATTACCTTCCTCTACTTCACTTTTCTCGGCTACCAAAAAGAAATAAATAAACAAATATAATTAAAATGAGGAATCGTCTTAAGAACTGACCTTTATCTACGGCTGGAATCTTCGTGAACTCCGGAGAGATTAACAGAGAAAAAGAGAGAGATAGAGAACAGCGAACGATAAAAATATTACTCACCGCCGAAGATTTTGGAAGAAAGAAAAAGAGCGGTTGTAAGAGGGTAAAAAAAAGAAGAGAGCCTCTAAATCTGGGCCATCGTCCCGCGCTACGACACCACCAGCTCGAGGACTTCGCTATTATGCGCTTGCAGCGTATAGCTTTCCATTTTAAGTTCTATACCTTTATGGGTCTCCTGCTAATTTGGGCCTAGCCCCTGAAGCTATTTTTCTTTTGAATTCGTAACCCGCAATTAAATTTTAAAACAAGCTCGTTTACTAGTTTACGAAATTTGACATTTATTATAATTTTATTTATGACATTTCTATTTGTTTCAATATATAAATTCTTTTTTAATTTTTAATTAAAAAACTAAAATAGTTAAATGTCGTATTTGAATTTAAATTATGATTAAAATCGAATAAATGTAATCCAAATGGCGGTATTATTCAATGCACGCGGAGATATAAGCACTTTGAGAAAGGAGGTATAATTAGTATTGTCATTTGTTTGAATATAATTATAAGAGTTTTTCTTTTTATATAATCATTTACATAATATGCATATAATTAAACCAGTAAACAAGAAATCGAGTTATGACATACATAATAATCGAGCAATCTAGATTTATTAAGATATAAACAATCTGAAATGAGAATGTAATGATTAATATTATCATTTATTTTGAATGTAATTATAAGAGTTTATCTTTCTATTCAATCATTTGCGTAATATACATATCATTAACCAATAAACAAGAAACCGAGTTAAGAGGGATGTAACAATCAAGCAATCAAAATTTACTAGGATATAAACACTCCAACAATAGGAGTATAATTAGTATTATCATTTATTTTAAATGTAATTATAAGAGTTTTTCTTTTTATACGATCGTTTGTATAATATGCATATTATTGACCAATAAATAAGAATTTGAATTCGGAGGGACTTAAGAGTCAAGCAATTAAAATTTACTAAGAGACGAGTACTCCGAAAGGAGAATATATAATTACTATTATCATTTACTTTGAATGTAATTATAAAAAATTTTCTTTTTATGCAACCATTTGCATAATATGCATAGTATTAACCAATAAACAATAAATCGAGTTAAGAGGGAAATAAGAATTAAGCAATCGAAATTTAATGAGACATAAACGCTCCGAAAAAAGAAATATAATTAGTATTATCATTCTATTTTGAATATAATCATAAGAGCTTTTATGTTTATACAATCATTTGCATAATATGTATATTATTAACCAGTAAATAAGAAATTGAATTAGGATGGACCTAAGAGTCAAGCAATTAAAATTTACTAAGAGTATAAATACTCTGAAAGGAGAATGTATAATTACTATTATCATTTATTTTGAATGTAATTATAAGAATTTTTCTTCATTTACAATCATTTGCATAATATGCATATAATTAATAAATAAACAATAAATCGAGTTATGAATGCCGTAACAATCAAGCAATCAAAATTTATTGAGATTTAAACACTCCGAAAAAAGAAGTATAATTAGCATTATCATTTCATTTTGAATGTAATCATAAGAATTTTTCTTTTTATACGATCATTTGTATAATATACATATTACTAACCAATAAATAAGGAATTGAATTAGGATGGATCTAAGTGTCAAGCTATCAAAATTTACAAAGATATAAACACTCTGAAATGAGAATGCATAATTAATATTATTATTTATGTCGAATATAATTATAAGAATTTTATTTTTATATAATCATTTGCATAGTAGACCTATCATTAACTAATAAGTAATAAATCGAATTAGGAGAAATATAACAATTAAGCAATAAAAATAATAAAAAATTTACTATTGATAAAATTATCAACACGTAACTTATTAATTTTTGTATTGTGACAAATTTGAATGTCATATATAGACTATTTAAAAGTATTTTTAGTTATTGAACACATACGTCTAATTATAATTATATGATTACCCATTAAAAAAATAAAAGGGATAATCACCACCTCCATGAAGCAAACTCGAACTCTTACACACCAAAGGCAATTCTCAAGTGCAAG